AGACTTCCTGGAAGAGCTGGTGCCCAAGCCAAGTCCTAAAGTGGGAGTTAATCAGGGCAGATGGGGAAGGGAACGGTGGAAGAACATGGGCACTGGCCATCTGGAGTCAGGAACAGCATGGTGGGCCGAGGGCCTGTGACAGGTGCGGGGAAGCCCCAGCAGGAAGTGAGGTGGGAGTGTTGGGGACAGTTGCAAAGGGTTCCGTAAATCCTCTCTGAAACTGAGGCCGTATTTTGCCCTGAGGGCAACAGGGAGCCACTGAAAGGTTGTAAATAAAAGAGTAAACTTACCAGATTCCCTCTTTAGGGAACTTTCTGGCGGCTAAGCAGGTTTTCCTGGGGAGGAGGGCAGAATGAGATGGGGGTGGGGAAGGGACACCAGTTAGGAGGATGGTGGGAGTATCTGGAGAGACGAAGGCATCTAAGACGTTGATAGTGTGTGGGGATGTGTGGATAGACAAGGTACAGTAATTGGAACTGTGTGACAAAATGTTAGGGGGCGTCCCAGCTGACATCCCAGACTTCTGGCTTGGGCTACTGGAGGTGGCAGGGGGCACAGGTTTGGGGGGAACACGCTGAGAATGAGGGGCCTGGGGGGCACGGTGGGGAGTGTCCACAGGGCGCCTGCTACACCCAGGCCTTGTGCTTGGCCCTGGAATGTGTCTCACCCGCTTTAGAGCTTGGAGATGGAGAAACTGAGGCTCTGAGAGATTAAGTAACTTGCCCAAGATCACAGAGCTAGCCCAAAACAGAGCTGGGTCTACCTCGGGTCTGTCTGATCTCAGTTCCACGGTCTTTAGGGAGAAGAGGCAGGAAGGAGTTGGTTGGAGCAGAGGGAGGAAGTTGAATGTGCCAAAGTGTGTAACAATGGTAGCGGGGGCTGACACTCAGTTCTGGGCAGGGTGAGCGAGGGGAGGGCCCTGGCACAGCCGCTCAGCCCCTCACGCTGCCTCAGGCTGGCAGGAAGGCATCATCCATCAACTTCGAGGTGTGTACCTGGGGACATAAATACCAATTAACCACCCGGAGACTTCCTGTTATGAACACCAGCGCCTCGGCCCTGACGCAGGGCTCATTTGTGAGCTGCCGGTGGGATCCAAGAAGGCACGAGGCCAAGAGGAACAAGCTGGCGGGGAGGCGGGGGGATGGCTTCTGGCTTAAGTGGCCAAGACTCTGATTTACTGGGGCATCTGCTTGATGCCACGTAGTGGCTCAGGCTCTGTGTAGGGGTGATACTGAAGCAGGAGGGGGGGGTGCAGAGGGCGCCAGCTTAGAGTCCCTGGGATGCTGGGGAGGGCCCCCGGCCCGAGGGTTTGATGGATGTGCAGCGTCAACACAGAGTGGTGGTCGGGGCAGAGGTCAGGGCACGGACCTGGAGCCCCAGGGTCAGGTTTGAACCCTGGCTCCCGCGCCTCACGTCCCTGAGCTCTCTGTGCCTCAGGGGCTTGCAGAGCTGAGCTCTGTCAGAGCCAGGCTCCATTCGAGGCAAACCACCCTGGGTCGCTCCCCGGCTGCTGCCGACTCTGTGTGACGTTGCAGGAGTGGCGTCACTTACCCACCTCTGCCCCTCAGGGCGAGCCGGCGGCCAGGTGCTGCTGTGTGTGCCTCGTGCCATCCTCCCAGGCTTCCAGAGTGGGAGAAAGCCACCAGGCTGGCATGGGCCAGTCACAGGGACAAGAGAACACTCTGGCCCCTGGGCTGGGGCTTTGGGAAGGACTCTTGCTTCCGTGAGCCTGGTTCCTTATGTGGAAAGGGACTCGATCAGATCTGCCTGATGCACTCCGTGTTCGCTTGAGAGCCAGCATCAGGGGGTCGGGGCTGTCGTTCCCTTTGGGACCCAGAACTGGGGGTGAGCCAGGGACTTCGTTGGGATCGCCCGGGCATCAGACCAGCTTCCTGACCCCCTAAGCCGGCCTTGGGCTCAGCATCTGAAGTGGTCTGGGAAGCAGGCAGCACTGGTAGGGATAGTGGCTTTCTCTCAGAGGGGCTTTTCCCTGGAGCTCTTGGTGCCTGCTCTGGGTAAGAATGCACCTGACCTCTAGGGTGGAGGTGACAGCCTGCCTCACGTGGCTTCTGCCACCGGGCGAATCTTCAGACCTCAGGACCTCTGCAGCCTCGCCCCACCTCCCTCTCTGGCCAACCTCTCACCCTCCTGGGCCCAGCACTTTCCACAGTCTCCTGGTCCCACCACCAGCTCCCCGCCTGTCCTCCAGCCTCCAGGCCTGGCTCACGCAATTCCCTCCCCCTGCCCAGCTCTCCCACCACCCTGGGAGGCTTGTAATAGTGGAGGCAACTGCCCAAGATCAGCAAGGATCACTCTAGGCTCACCAGCTCGGACTGTCCTTTCTCTGACCGCTAGTGATCATGTGGCAGCTTTGTCCACCAAGCCCACTGTGTCATGTGCTCGGCAAGAAAAGGGCCAGACTCTCCCCGCACCTGAGCCTGGTCAAGGAAACAGAGATGTTCACTCAGTAAAGTCCAGCACTTATTTCCTACCGACTGTGTCCTAGGGGACACTGGTGGACACTGGCACTTTGGAAACCTCGGCAGAGATTACGTTAGCCCTGGGCTGGGCCTCACACACCAGCTCTCTGACCTCAAGCAAGTTACTTTCTCTCTCTGAGCCTCAGTTTTCTGCATCCATAAAAAGGCGGCGGCAGTATGCTGGCTACCTAACATTTTATCCCAAGCACCAAAGCAAAGGACTTGTATAAAGGGCCTTTATACAAGTGGCACCTTGTAGGTGCCTGCTTGGCACCTGTAGGAACTCGGCAAATGTCATCCCCCTCAGTTTTAGGAAACTCTGCTTTGGGGAAGGCTCTAATTTCAGGCGTGGTGGGAACAGCATGAGCTTTGGGGGTGGATCCGGGTTCCAGCCCAGCTGCCCAGTTGGGTCACCCCGGCAAACCTGCATTTTCTCTGCTATCAAAAGCAGCGAGGCTAGTTATCTGGAAGGATGGTTGTGAGAACTTGGGAACATTCTTCCCTAAGCACTCACTGGTCTTTGCCAGGGATTCTGTCCTCTGTTCACAGCCATACTCCCACCTAGAGCACAGCCAGTGTTCAATACGTGCTTCTAACAGGAATGAAATGTGAGGGCTAGAGCAAAGGACCCTCCCCAGAAGGTGAAATCAACGGAGGTGGATTTCTTTTTCTTCCCGCCAGCCCTGCCTCCTCCCCTCCTCCTGCTCCCTCCACCCCCCAACTCAGTAACTCCCAGAGCAGCTAGGAACGGAATTAACTCCTGTGCGGGTGACCTTGCGGAGTTCTCCATCCTGCCCCCTGCCCAGCTCAGCCAGCTTAGGGCCCACTTGTGTGCTTTCTGACTCACTCCAGTGTCTGGGGCAGACTTTAACAGGCTGGCTCTCCAGACAAATTTGGGGTGGCAGACATTTCCTGGCTGGAAATGGGGTGAGGCAGATTGGCTGGCTGCCTGGCTGTCTGGCAAGCGTTCGATAACTGGCCTATATGGCTGGGGAGGGAGTGGACAATAGCTCCTTCGCTTGTCCCAGTGGCCCATACTCATGGTGATGTGGTTACAGGGCCAGGAGTGGATGGGCAGGGCACCACCGGGATGGAGGATGCTGCAGGGATGTGTCCTGCTTTCCCCCGTGGGCCTGGCTTGGTCCAGGCCATGGACTTGTTAGGAGTCAGCCAGTGAGTCTCTGTGTCAGACTGTTCTAGAAACAGCTGAAGTCATCTCACGGCAATTTCACAAAGTCCCTGCACCTCCCACCCTCTCAGCTCTGCCAATGCAAAGCAGCCTGCCCTAGGGGATAATCGGTCTCAGAAGTACCCAAGCAGTCCCCAGGGAGCCTCTGGCAGGCCCCTTACCTAACTGCTCCCAAAGTTCTATAGCAAGAGTTCCTAACTTTTTCTGATCATGGACCCTGCTGAGAATGAAAGTTATGGTCACTTTTGTCAGAAACACACATGCACACTCTTCACATAAAGTCTTGCACGGTTTCAGGCGGTTCATACCTCTCTGAGGGCCCATTCATTGAACCCCTTAGACCTGAGGTTGAGAAACTGCTTCAACCCTCCAGGGTGATCAGCTCCAGGGGTATGGCTATGAGAGGCCCACAGAAGCAGGTCCCAAGAGAAGGGGCCCACCGACATGGAGGTCCATTCTCTTCCACCCCTACCTCCCCTTTGCCCTGACTCTCCCCTGCCCAGCCCCAGCCAC